GCGCCGGCCTGGGGGCCCAGCTCGAGCGCCGGCCTGGGCGCCAGAATCGGCCCGGAAGGCCTCCCAGGCGCCGGGAGCAGAAATTCAACATTTTCGAAAGAAAAATGCGTATTGGAGTGGCACTTTTCTAGCACAGCCTCGGAATTCAATTTTCCGTGGCCGGCCTGGGCCGGCGCCGGCGCCGGATGCGGCTCAAGCGCCGGCCCGGGCGCCAGCCTGGGCGCTCGGCTCGAGCGCTGGCCCGGGTGCCGGAATCGGCCCAGAAGGCCTTGCAAGCAAGCGCTGGGAGCAGAAATTCAGCATTTTCGAAAGAAAAATGTATTGGAGTGACCTTTTTCCGGCACGGCCTCCGAATTCAATTTCCGGCGCCGGCCGGAGCCGGCGCTGGCGCCGGATGCGGCTCAGGCGCCGGCCCGAGCGCCGGCCTGGGCGTCCGGCTCGAGCGCCCGCCCGGGTGCCGGAATCTGCCCGGAAGGCCTCCCGGGCGCCGGGAGCAGAAATTCAGCATTTTCGAAAGAAAAATGCGTACTGGAGTGGCCTTTTTGGGCACGGCCTCGGAATTCAATTTTCTGCGGCCTCTTGGGCGGATGGCGCGCGGGCCCCGGATTCGGCTCAGGCGCCGGCCCGGGCGCCAGCCTGGGGGTAAAGTGTAACCGCGCTATTCGGCACCTAGCCCACTGGCATTCGGCACCTAGGATTCAACCCTCGTCGGGCCGTCGCCCATAGTCATGGGGGTGATAACCACCCCCTGCCTACCACCCCCCAACAAGCCATAAGGATGTCATAGGTATTCGGTCAGACAAGGTTTAGCAGGATGACGACAATATAACTGTGATGATGAAACACACGGCGATCATTACACCAAAATCGGCCATGAGGAAACCACAACCCATCATGACGACATGACGGATTTTTCCATGAGAGCAGTTCTCTGGGGTCCTCCGCGACGACAACGACGATGACGACGACCACGACGGCGTGGGCCATCCAGGTAAGGAATCCAGTTTGGATGATGTCGAGGGTGAGGAGGGGAGTGGGCGATGAGGAAGGGTTGAGGATGATGGTGGTGATGATTATGATCATGCTCATGATGATGAAAACCATGATGATGACGACGATGACGATGTTGATGATGACCATTATGATGACGATTATGATAATGATGATCATGCTGACGACGATTCATGCATTGGCATGGAATGGCCAACGAAGGCGAGGAGGGGAAACAGCATGGGGGGCGGATGGTGATCCAGTAGCATAATGCTTTTGCTCCTTCTCCTCCTCCTCCTCCATCCTCCTCCCTCCCTCCTGAATCGACCGATCGAGGATCCTTGGGCCAGCGTCTGCTGAGGAAGGGGGGGGAGAAGAGGAGGAGGAGAAGGTGGAGGAGGAGGCGGAGCGCCGTCGTCTTATGCGTCATCGTCGCCGACGTCATCGTCGACGTCGTTGACGACGACGCTGATGGGGAGGGAAAGGCAGGAGGAGAGGCAGGAGGGAGGAGGAGGCCCGGGGGGGGTGCCCGAGAGGCCCTCGAGGCGAGGAGGCGGCGAGGGTATAGTGAGGTGTCCAGAGGGTATCTGTGAGGTGTCCGGAGGGTATCCGTGAGGTGTCTGGGGGGAGGCTCCTCGCGGGGCCCCTGGAGGCCCTGACCCCGGACACCTCACGGATACCCTCCGGACACCTCGCGGATACCCTCGCCGCCTCCTTGCCTCGAGGGTCTCTCGGGCCTCCCCCCCTGGGCCTCCTTCCTTCTCCTCCCCCTCCTCATCCTCATGCTCATCCTCATCCTCATCATCCTCCTTCACCTTCCTCTCCTCCTGCTCCTCCAGCAGACGCTGGTACAGGGATCCCC